TGTCTCAACGTTAATGAGCTATTTTATTTTTTTGGTGTTATATGACATGTATATCATGAAAAACCATGTCACTCATTTCTGTCGGCCCGTCTGTCTGTCTGTCGGTCCTTCTGTCTATCTTCTGTCTATCCGTTAATCGTTTAAGCGCCTATAACTTGAGAAGTACCGGATGGATTTTGATGAGATTTTTACAAAATGTTACTGAACTGGGATGCAAAAGGTTTAAACTCATGAAAATCGGTCCAGTCGCGGCAGAGAAACGGAAAAAGTAAAAATCGCTCAATCTTCGCTTTTTGACATTCCAGATGATCCTTATCATTTTTGAAAAAACTTTTAGAAGAAAAAACATTAGCCCTGAAAACTGAAAACAGAAGAATGTTCTGGGAGGCTGAGTGCCGCGGCTGCTGCTAGCGTCGTGCGCTGACCGTGATGAACCACACGTAAATACGCCCCGCAACATCATAGTGTTTTCTATGCTCTGCCCGCGCTATTACGGTGCCACGTCTGCCGGAGTTAGGTATCGGGAACAGGCGATGTTTCCAGATGCACCGGTAGGGCAAGGAAAGAATGTCTATGGACTAATTGTATGGACCTGTTCAACTGACTTTTTCGGCAGAGGGTCTAGTTTATGTTGTTTCATTATCAACTGATAAGGGCGTTGAGTCGGAAGTGCAGAGTCAACTTGTATGATGCCATTTTTTAGCAAAATCATACCAAAAAATGGTCAGAATATTTCTTCGAGCAGATGCATAGGTACTTTCTGGACTAATTAATAATGCTCGTCAAACGGTTTTTGCTAGGGCTCGGTGTTGTCAACTATTTGTCCAACTTTCTAAGAACAAAATGACTGTACCAATAAAAGGTATATGAATTCTATAACAATTCATTTCTACTCATACCAGTTTATTTTCTCACGTGTTGTGCAACAATTAAATAAATTAAAATTACACGTTACGCATCTACCTGCACAGCTAGTGAAGGGATGGCCGTCTTTGCTGTTAATTATTCCGCGACCCTTCCTACGCCCTTAGGTCGTTGTTTCTTTAACAAATGCACCATGGCGGTATGCAAATCACTGCGACATTCCGTAGGGCTGCTTCTTGTTAATAAGGGCAAAGGGCAGTGCCAAAATCCAAAGAATGCAAATATGCAATGACAAGACTGTTAATCAACGAGTGCGTTCCCAGAGAGAAAGTAGACGGTTCAGATGTGCCCTAATTCATTGATTAAGAAAGGGACAGCTGGTTACTATGAATTTGCATGTGAGACAACAATGTGTACTAAGAAAAACGGTACTTGATTATATCTTGTGGACACAACGGGTTCGACGCTGAATGGTAAAAGAAAATATACCTTGAGGATACCCCTAATCAAAATATGCATCCACAACATAAAAACAAAGCTTCACGTTTAGGATTATAATTTTTTCCTTCCACGCGACTGGCGAGGAAGTGTTGAGATCGCGGATTCGAGAATGAGATATTGTTTTTGCAAAGGCGAGCCAGGCGATTATATGGAATTTTCTCACTGCGCTGACCGGTTTAGCATGTAGTTTTTTTTCGTTTCAGGGTATCCTGATCATTTTTGAAATTTTTGTTAGAGGTAAAACAGCTTGGTGGTGGAGATTGTAAGCGGTGGGGAGGGTTTATCTCAATATGTGGCGTTAGTATAATTCAGGGATCCAATGCAAGAACCGACCAAGTTCATTTTTTATTCAAAGTTATTTAGCATCAGTTTTTTACACAGTTTAAGATTATCTATCGGGCGTTACAAAAACGAGACACATAACCCTGAAAATAAGCGATTTATAAATGTATTGGTGGTTACCTGCTTTCTCAAATGTTGCAAAAACATGTCAAGTCTGGTCATTTTTCTGTTATCCTGTAAAATTATAAAAAATGTACTTGAATGGTTCTAACATTCGCCTCCTCAATTATACACTTCCAGCACCGGTGATTCTACTCACCTTTAGTCATTTCTCATACACCATAGATTCCCTCATACATTTGGCCTTAAAACAGAAAAATATTTTCAATAGACACATTTCACGCAACACAACCAATACATACCTGCTTGAGCTACGGTCGATACCCAAATGATGGGTGGCTGTGGGTGTTCTGGCGCGTGAAGAGATTAATCTTAGCAAAGTTGCTAGATAACGTTGTCAAATGCAGGGGGACTACGGACTAATTATCCGCAACCTTGCCACTCACTGTGTAATTCAGCTTTCCACCTGATACCACCCGGCTCATGGCCTCGATTACATTGTTATACAGTAAAAGTATTATTTTCATCACCTTCCTCACAGTCACAATCCTTTCTTCCTCTTCCTGGTCATCTCTTTAGGTCATGACCACTAGATATTCATCGCCCCGTATTTGTCTTCTTTTTCGATTCTCTATGCGCCCTCCTATTGTCTTCTTGCTTCTTCATGCATCCTTTCCTTCTTGGTAACATGCCCCTCCCTGTCTCTCAGCTCTCTTTTCTGATGCTTCCTGTTGTTAAGCTCTCCGTTTGACTGACTTGATTCACTACATCTTCCGAGCTAACTTTTTTCAGAGGGTCTAACTTGTACCGAACATAATTCTTTATGTGTCTTTAAGCTCAGAGTCAACCTACTTGATGCTATTTTTTACATGTTCAAAGATCGCAACAATATGTCACCTTTAGTACTCCCGTCTGTCCATTATTTTATTGAAAAGAACATGTCAAGTAGATTAACTCTATACTTCCTACGTCTTCTTTGGAGGTTTTCAAAGGAAAGGGATGAGTTATGCTGTTATATTTCAAAAGGCGAAATCGAATCGTGATTAGGTAGGTTTACTTAGGTACGGTGAATTTTCTACCTCTGCACATCAGACTTCTCAATGATAGAACATTTTTGACCGATACTAATGGCGTAACATTCACAACCCCCTAGTTTCAACCTGTCAAAAAATTCAAGAAACGAAGCAAAGTGATTTTACTTTTTTCTTCGTGCTTTTGCCACTAGCTCCGAAGGCACTGGACCGATTTTAAAAAGCTAAAGCTTTTTCATCCTTGGCATAGTAATAACGTTGAGTGAAAATTTGATCAAAATCCGAGCGGTAGTTCTCAAGTTATAGGCGGTTCGAAGATTAGCGGACAGGCAGACAGACAGACATCGATTACAATACTTCCTCGGCAGTTGGCGTAGGAAGTAAAAACTATTGGTTCATGTTTATTGAGCTCTTTAATGAAAATGCAAGACATATAGTACGTAGACTGCATATGTATTAACCAGATTGCTTCTCACTTCACCTGGCATTCCAGTAAATGCCTGTAGTGATGCAGCTGGTGTTTCTCATACACCCAGATGATCCTTGCCCACCGGCATTAACATGAACTGGCACAATATCCAAATGCTTATAAATGCCCATCAGCCTGCAGCGCGATACACATTAAGGGCGCTTTTGCATTTGCATACAGCGTCGCGTTTTAATTTATGCGTAGTCACATGCAGTTCGCGTCGCAGACCCACCTTCCTCATGCGTTCTTCTTATGCATAGAACACGCATTGTCCTTGTTTCTTTCTTCTTGGCAGGAAGCGACGTATTGTCGCATACTGCCAAGGGTTGGAACAGGTATGTGAGGGTTGACGCGCCCCCGTGAGAAAATTAGGAACATTAATTTGAATACGCTGAAAGTTTTTTAAAAGATCAGTGACTGTAGATGTAGAATATGATGCTGTTCGATGATTTTATGATCCAGGTCTATGCAGAACCGTTTTCAACACAGCACATATATATATATATATATATATATATATATATATATATATATATATATATATATATATAAATACGAGAACAACCATTTTCACCAAAGTGACGGCAACCCAACCACCTGTTCAATGGTTACTGACACCACTAATCTGTTCAACAGTTGATGAAATATGTCATTGTGACAGCTGACACGTAGCTATTTAGCGCGAATAAATATTTCCATTGTGAAAATTTCATCATCAGTTTATAAATAATTAAGTTCAGCACAATTTAAATCCTCTGAGAAAATATTCAGCTACGGGCATCCAAAACAGACAAATTGAACGAGTATTGAGTCAGACAAACAGGCTCACACAATTAGTTCATAGACATACTTTCCCTGCCCTACTGGAAGTTACCGACCGTGTGGCAACGTTATCCCTTTCCACATCTGTACGGCTTCCATTTTTTTCTGAAAATGAGCAGGACCCTCTAACACATCAAAAAACAAAACTTGAGCGATTTCTATTGTTTCTTTCTATTTTTTGGTCTTTTTCTCCGCCACCACTGGATGGATTTTCAAAAAGTACAAGGCTCTTTCATCCTCAGCACAGTGGTCGGGGCGGTACTTCCTCAACTTATAGACGGTTGTAAAATTAGCGGACAGACAGACAGACCGATGGAAATGAGTGATATGGTATTTCGTGTTGTACAATGTTATACAATATCCAAAAAACATAATATCTCAATTTTGAAATTTTTTCCGATTACGATACTTCCTTGCCACTACGCTTTAATATTAAACAGAACGTACTTTACGTTTCTCGACTTTAATTAATTGTATCGGATTATTTTAACAGACTAGATATATCATAAAGATACCGACATATCTTCGATTCATTAAAAGGGAAAATAAATGTGATGCTCATTGATTGATCTGGATAGATCTTATTTGTGGAATGCTTATGGAACTTTTTTAGTCGATGTATTTAAGAATGAGAGTAGTCTAATTATATTACGCATTTTTACTAATAAGTACATACTAAGTATCCTTCTCAACTAACTCAAAACGAGGGTCCCAGCCGATCAGAAGTTGACAATAGCGCCTCAGGGCACTATTTTTGAATCCAGTAGGTATGCTAAGGGAGCTAAGGACGATACCAATCTAATTCCTTTTATAATAATGTAAGACATAACCATGATATCTTGGCTAGACCCTCACAACCCTAACACAATAGGCAACAATTTGCATACAACCGGTATCAATTACAAGCCTACCTTTCCATCAAAATCTGCATAGGAAACTGACGGTAGATGAGAACGTTTGTCGTTGATGTGCTTTTGTTCTTTTTTTGCTACTCCCCTTCCTCGCTGGTCTGAAACAACTATACTTTTGTGGATATGCAAACTATTTTAATTATTTTTTTCCATGACAGCTGTGTAGATCTTGTTATAGGAGGGAGTTTTTTTCTCGTCAGAGGTATACCAGTTTGGTCGTTACGTAATTTCAGTTGTTTGTGTTGGTGAATAATAATGAAATGGGGTATGCTAGAAAACTTGAGAGAGCGCAGACTTGAAAATTAAGCTCAAAATACTACTATGTATCCCATATATAAGGTTCAGAAAGATGTGTCAATATTTCTAGGGTAGAAAGTACATCTAAAAATAACAAATAAGATTCATATAAATATATCTGCAAAGATGCCCCTTCCAAGATACAGGATGATGAAGTTTTATTTCCAAAAGTGAAAAAAAAAGTATATCCACGGAGCACATGATAAGCAATAAATACACAAACTAAACCAGCGACGTAGGAACTGGGGTACCTGGACCCGTAATAAGAGATATTTCCCACGCCACTGGCCTCTTTGGAGAAAAGCAATGCATTATATAAAAAATATACAATTTGCCACGAATTTTGTCTTTTAAGGAATGTTTGTCACATTACTCGTTTTGGGGATATTTAGGTTTGAATACTTGAGGTAGAATCCTAAAATATCCTATTCTAAATACACCGAAAAGCTTGATATTGGAAGCACTATATGGCATCAGATGAAAGCTATAGCAGCGGATTACAAGATTAATGCATGCATGACTTGTCGTCAATCAGTAGCGTAGAAACTTACCACTCATTGAACCTTGTCTATGCATGCCACTGGTTTTCATGTTATACTTTTCCTGGTATCACCAATGTTAGCCAGTAATTGTGGAACCAATCAATTTGAGTAAAATTCTGATTATTTTAGTTCTGAAATGATACGTTTTTTTTTCTCAATATTCTTTAGCATTTCGGTGAGCTCAACAAAGGAAATTTCATAAATATTTAGCAACCTCACACACTAAGTATGAGGATGAAGTATATAGAAGGCTTTCAACACTGCTCGTACTACGCCAGGTATTTTCAAAGAGCCAGAGTCTTTTTGGCATAGAACACGAGCTTGTGTTGAATCCAAAGATGGTCACTTTCAAGGCCTCCTTCAGGTTGGATTTTATAGCATTGAGCATTACTTTTTGTGTCCAATGTTATGTCATATATTTATAAATAACCACGTATTTATATATTTTTGAAATAAACATTTTCTTTATTTTGAAGTTTCTTTATCCGTAAACAAAAATGAATATTTCGGCAAAACCAGTGGCGTGCACAGGAAAGGTATAATGAATGGTAAGCTTCTACGCTACTAATTGAGGATGAGACACGCATATTATTCAATTAACGTTGTAAAGTTGTGCCATAGATTTCTTCAAATGTCGTATAGTGTTTCCAGTACCAAGCTTTACGGTTTTTTAGAAAAGGGGAGGCTAAATATTTTCATAAGAATATTTTAGGATATTAACCTAACTGTGTATATAAATACCTCCAAAACGAGTGCTCTGACAAAAATTCATCGAGAAACAAAAAGTATGAAATATTAAATGTTTTTTTATAAAGTGCACTTTATTTACGCGGAAAGGCCAGTGGCGTAGAAAATATTTCCTAAGAGGTGTGCAGGTACCTCAGTTTCAACATAGCTGGTTTAGTTTGGGCCGGAAAACTCTGTGTGTATATTGCTTTTGAACGGCTCACTGAACGTCTAAAATCTTAACACAGGATCTTTGCCCGCTCCGTAGATATAATATTTTTTTTTAATTTTGTAGATAAAAGTTTTTCACCCTCTATCTCGGTAGATGAGCTTCTTTGGACCCATATTGATAAGAACCTTTTTTTTTATTTTTCTACTCTAGAAATATTGGTACGTCTTTCTGGAACACCCTGTATAAGATCAACTTTTATATATCTCAAAATGAAACTCGTGATACATATTGTTGTTGGAACAATTTGTATCAGTTGGATCAGGATTTGAATCCTTCTGTTTCTTGTACTTATGGTTTGCATTCACACAGTTAAATCATTTAGTAATTGATTGCTTACAGGAGGAAATTTTCCCCTCATTTTAAAAACCCCGGACACTTTTTAAAAACCTCTCCCGGACGGCCCCCGGGGAATCCCAATTTTCTCTAGGCTCTTTACTTAGGTCCACAGCGCCCATAAAGGGGACGTTATCGTCCACTTTGAGAAAATTAGGTTTAGAAGGAGCAATGAAGCGCTGGTTTGATAATGGTACTTGCCCAAGGTGAAGTAATTCAGTATGACAGAGATTATTTTGAAAACCAGAAGTTTGTTCATATCACAAAACGTACGCCAGTTAACTTTCAAAACCATCACGCCACTATGAGTAAATGTGTAGCTATATTATAACCGGACGAAGATGCTCCAATAGAGGTTCACCTCGGCAGATTTCGCAAAATATAGTCCGCAGCTACCAACAAAGTTAATACAGTGTAACGTTCACGCCCATAAAAAAAAGAAAGGAGTGAACTTATTCATATTCCTCGGCGGATTCTGCCATTACAACGCTCTCGGGCATTCGGCTTTCTCAGCGGACTATAGGGGCTATAATCACGAGTTATGAAACACCTCATTAAAGACATTATCTGATCAATTTTGATAAGTCTCCTTGCTACCTGCCAATAAATCTCTTAAAGTAATCTACACGGTGTAATTTTTTACGTTTTGATCGAATTTCCTGGGAATCTCGACATGTGTGTTCCTGTGGAACGGATTTTGGGCTGTTCCATAGCTATCTGACAATTATCTTGGTTGTCGATTTCTTGCTTGACAGAACAAGCAAAATGGTGGTTAGGCGACGTGTGTTAGCGTCTTTCATCTGGTTTTGAAGGATGTCAATCGTTAGGCTTGTGATCACAAATTGATTAAGGTTATGATTTGACTCTATACCTATTAAGCTCATTACTATATTTGTGGTAAGCATCTTATAAGTTATACGAATGGTGTGAAATTTGTAATATGGTCAAATTAGATGAGGCGAAAACAGCACATTGTAGGAGACATTTTCCAAATCAATTTTTTTCAGGTTTGTGGGAATATGAATTAAGGGTGGTTACTTGATTCTGTTCAGAAGAGGGCTGTCCGACGGATCGATGACTATTCTATAAGGATCACTCTCGGGCACGACGGGCCGTCGGCGATCTAGCTCCACACCAACGGGCTTTGCTCCTCAGAACTCTCCTCCTTGATGCCGCCGCGCGATGCGCCTGGTCCAGAATTGGCCGATACGACCGCTCCTTTATCTCTAGGTGATCGAGATTATGGAACAGTCTATCTGAAAAGCCTTTTCTCAGTTGTACTAACCGTAAGCAGTTCAAAAATTAACAATTTCTCTTTAAGCTCCTCATAGCAGCTGCGGTGCCCTGGTATTTAGGCTGCTTCAGTGTAAAAAAAAATGTTATTTTTTGGATTATTCTGGATAAAGTAGGTAGCTTCTCTCTAAAGTTGACCGTTTCCGAGTTATAAGCGTGAAAAAGAACAAAAATGGGAACTTTCAATGTTGAAAAATTCAGTTAGAATCTCTATTTTTAACAACTGAGGAGGCCAGGAACAAATAGTGATTTGATTCTACTTGTTGTTTACCTTAATCGACACAAAAGGTTAAATCTTCATACATTTTTTCGATAACTGTCTTGTCTCATGGAAGAATTGACTTAAACAGATGCTTCTAGTACAAAAAGTTACATTTTTATTCAACCACAGTAGTGATTAAAACTTAATATCAAAAACTGTCACTTTCTTAGTAAAAGCGTCTGACGTTGTTATAGTTCAAATCGGGTAGATACAAAATGTATCAGAACTTAAGATATGTTTTCATAACATTTATATTGTCCTCGAATAGGTAATTCAATCATTTTGAATAATTTATAATTAGTCAAAACTGAATCCGCGTTGAGCGGGGACAGTCCATTTTTGGCTCTTTCGGTTCCTGTCCCTCGTCAAAAGCTGTGGTCACAAAATTGTCTTCCTTGTCCTTCATCTTTGAATCTTGGTAACTGGCCCTACTAGTTCAGATATATAAATCGAAGTCTCGTAAATAACCCCCCCCCCTCAAGGCCTAAATACCCGAGCTTCACCGCGGCTGCTATAAGGAGCTTAAAGATACTTTATTGATCCTATTTTTGAACTGGCTAAGGTTAGTATAACTGGGAAAAGTCTCCTCAAGCAGATTGTTTAACAATAGGAAGTAGTCGTACCGGCTAGTTCTGGATATACGAAGTTCAACCGGTTAGGATTGGAGACTGAAGCCAGACGGGTCTGTCTGGCAGGCTCATCGCGCGGCGGCATCACGGAGAAGAGCTGTGAGAAGCAAAGCCCGTTGACATAGCGGTGGAAGGGAGCTAGATGTCTTTCTCTGAACAGCATGGAGCATACATAATCTAGTGAGGGTGGCAGCACCGCAACGATGCGTGTAGTACTCAAGGTCTTACCTGAGCTTTGTGCAGAGTGAGAAGGTTACAGGTATAATGTTAATCAACATTTTTTATTTCCTCAATGTGTTTTAATGTAAACTAGTAATATAGCTTTCGTCCGTCCGACCACAGACGGCCAAGCATGGACTGCTGTTTTGAACTGTTTGGTAACTCTTAGGCACGTAGGCTTGGTCTCGGTGGACGATGAACGAAAGCTGAGCTTGCACTCTATTTAGAGTAATAAGACATCTAGCGGTGTCAGGGAAACACGGCTGGCAATGCCTACTTCGTGTTTGATATGGTAGCATCTTTGGACAGTTTCAAGCATGTTAATTGATGAAAACGTGTCATTTCGCCCTTTAACTTATTTTGCCTAAATTAAAAAATGATAGATAAGTTTTATAAACATTAAATTTAGCCTAATAACAGGCGCATATGGGGAATCGAAGAAAATAATTACAAATCAACTGGAATATGTATTTATCCAACTTACTGAAGTAACTAAAAAGTGTGAAGGCTACGTTTTATTTCTAACTTCCTCTATTAGATGATAATTAACAATTAACAATGCTTC